CTGCTTGTGTACCCAGATCAACTCTAGCTCTAGTGTCTTTTTTTAATTCTTTATTGTTTGAAGTATGACATATAGTATTACATATGTCTCCTTTTTCCCCCATTGACCTCTTCCCGGCCACCCCCACCTCCCAGCTCATGCCCTCACCCCCCTAGTGTCTGTGTCCATTGGTTATGCTTATATGCATACATACAAGTCCTTTGGTTGATATCTTACTCCCTCCCCAACATTCTCCTCTGCCTTCCCTCTGAAGTTTGACTGTCTGTTTGATGCTTCTGTCTCTGGATATATTTTTGTTCATCACTTTATGTTGTTCATTATATTTCACAAATGAGTGAGATCATGTGATATTTATCTTTCTCCGAATGGCTTATGTTGCTTAGCATGATGCTCTCCATGTACATCCATGCTCTTGTGAAAGGTAAGAGTTCTTTCTTTTTTTACAGCAGCATAGTATTCCATTGTGTAGATGTAGCACAGTTTTGTAATCCACTCATCTGCTGATGGGCTCTTAGCCTGTTTCCAAATTTTAACTATTGTAACTTGTGCTGCTATGAACACAGGATGTATATATCCTTTCTGATCCGTGTTTCTGATTTCTTGGGATATATTCCTAGCACTGGGATCACTGGGTCAAATGGCAGTTCCACTTTTAGTTTTTTGAGGAAACTCCATACTGTTTTCCACAGTGGCTGCACCAGTCTGCATTCCCACCAGCAGTGCACGAGGGTTCTTTTTCTCCACATCTTTGCCAGCACTTGTTTTTTGATTTGTTGATGATAGCCATTCTGACAGGTGTGAGATGGTACCTCATTGGCGTTTGGATTTGCATCTCTCGAATAACTAGTGACTTTGAGCATGTTTTCATATGTCTCTTGGCCTTCTGTATATCCACTTTTGAAGTGTCTATTTAGGTCCTTTGCCCATTTTTTATTGGATTGTTTATCTTCCTTTTGTTAAGATATAAGAATTCCTATAAATTTTGGAGATTAAACCCTTATCGGAGATAACATTGGCAAATGTGTTCTCCCATGCAGTGGGTTTTCTTGTTGTTTTATTGATGGTTTCTTTTGCTGTGCAGAAGCTTTTTATTTTGATGTAATCCCATTTGTTTATTTTCTCCTTAGTTTCCATTGACCTAGGAACTGTATCAGTAAAGATATTGCTATGAAAAATGTCTAATATTTTGCTGCCTATGGATTCTTCTAAGATTTTTATGGTTTCCCATCTCATATTTAAATCCTTTATCCATTTTGAGTTTATTTTTGTGTATGGTATAAGTTGGTGGTCTAATTTCATTTGAAAGAAAATTACAGGCCAATATCTCTGATGAACATGGATGCTAAAATCCTCAACAAAATTCTAGCAAATCGGACCCAGCATTACAGTAGAAAGATCATACACCATGACCAAGTGGGATTTATTCCCGGATGCAAGGATGGTACAATATCCGCAAATCAATAAATGTGATACATCACATAAACAAATTTGAGAGATAAAAATCACATAATCATATCAATTGATGCAGAAAAAGCATTTGACAAACTCCAACACCCTTTCTTGATAAAAACCCTCAGCAAAGTGGGAATAGAGGGATCATACCTCAACATAATAAAAGCCATATGTGAAAAACCTACAGCCAACATCATACTCAATGGGCAAAAACAAAAACCATTTCCCCTAAGAACAGGAACAAGACAGGGATGCCCACTTTCATTACTCCTGCTCGACATAGTACTGAAAGTGCTAGCCATAGCAATCAGACAAGAAGAAATAAGAGGCATCCAAATTGGAAAATAAATAAAACTGTCATTACTCATAGGTGACATGATATTGTACATAAAAAACCCTAAAGACTCCATCAAAAAACTACTAGACTTAATAAATGAATTTGGCAATGTAGCAGGATACAAAATTAACACCCAGAAATCTATGGCTTTTTTTATAGGCCAATAATGAACTCGCAGAAAGAGAAACCAAAACAAACAAACAAAAAAAAAACAATCCTATTTACCATTGCACCAAAAAAAATTAAGATACCTAGGAATAAACTTAAGACCTGTACTCGGAAAACTACAGGACACAGAAAAAAAGAGATAGAGGAAAACATAAACAAATGGAAGAATATACCGTGTTCATGGACTGATAGGATCAACATCATTAAAATGTCCAAACTACCCAAAGCAATCTATAGATTCAATGCAATCCCCATTAAAATACCGACGGCATATTTCACAGACCTAGAACAAACTCTCCAACATACCTAAGTATCGTTGCTGATCAGGTTCATCCTATCATGTTGATGGCATATCCTAATGGAAATGGCTTCTTCCAATAAGACAATGCGCCATGCCACAGTGCTCGTATTGTGCAGGAGTGGTTTCAAGAACATAAGGGAGACTTTACCTTGCTTAGGTGGGCCGCACAATCACCAGATCTCAATCCAAGTGAGCATTTGTGAGATGAAGTTAAAAGAGCCATCAGGCAGCTGGTTCCACAACCATCAAATCTCACAGAACTGGACAGTGCTATTCATGAGGCATGTGTCAGATTCCTCGCATCACCTTTCAACATCTCGTGGAGTCAAAGCCAAGAAGAATCACCGCAGTATTGAAGGCAAAAGGTGGTCCAACAAAGTACTGATGGGGTGGTCATAATAATGTGGCCATTCACATTCAAATGTATCCCACGTTCAAAGGCTGTTAAATCGTGTTGCTTACCCATATTTTCAGAAAAAAATCACTTCTACTGTCGTAGTAAACAACCTGCTTCCCTATTTATAATGGTCTGGCCCTCTAGCAACTTCAGAGCGAAATTATAGCTAATTTGCCTACAAATGTCAGGTGGTCATAATAATCTGGCCACTCAGTGTGTGTGTGTGCGTGTGTGTGTGTATACATATAATTTATTAGAGCCCAGTGCATGATATTCGTGCACGGGTGTGGTCCCTAGACCTGGCCAGCAATCAAAGCATGGGCCAAGGCGCAGTGTGGGCCTCTGGGCTGCCAAGCAGCACCACACGGAAGCCAGGTGGGCAGTGCACTCTCTCCCGGCCGGCCTCACAGACCAGCTCCTGCGCAAACCCACAGGAGCCTGACCGGCCCCTGGTCCCGGCGGCTGAGGCCTGGCTCACCTGGAAGAAGCCATGCAAGGGCAGGGGCGGGCTCCTCATGGGTCCCTGGCACCTGAGCACGGGGAGGCTGGGAGGCGCTTCCTCTGTGTACGAGCCCTGGCATCCTGGGGCAAGGTAGCAGGGAGAGTGAGAGCGAGCTCGGCAGACACCCCACATTCTCACTGCACCTCTGTCACCCCTGCCCCCAGGTAGCCAGCAAGAGATCACAGCCCCCCACCCGGGCACTGCAGGAGGTTAGTCACCACCACCCACCCCCAGTTCCCCATCCTAGCCCAGGGCCCATCTGCGGGAATATCGGTTGGGGCTGGGCCCCCAGACCAGCTCCCTCAGCACCTGGGAGCTGAGCGGTGGCCACCGCTGCTGGTCACCGTCTGCGGGGCGATTGGGCCCCCGCTTGCACCCACCTTGGCCTGGCACTGCCTGCTCACCTGCTCCACCATCCCACCGTGGTCCCACTCTCATCAGGGCCGGCAACGCCTCCACTGCCACCCAATGCCAGCACTGCATCACTGATGCCCACCATGGTCCGCGCCGCCCCCTGGTGGTCAGCGCATGTCATAGCGAGTGGTCAAACTCCCGGTCAAACAATTTGCATATTAGGCTTTTATTATATAGGATTTGAAACTATCAAAGACAAGTACAGAGAGTCTAACTATTACAGTTGGGATAAAATAAAAGGCAAATGTTGGAATAAAAGTGGGAGATAAGATTACAAAATAATAATCTTGAATGTCAGTCTAAGGAGTTTATATAGAGGTGGAACAGGAAGGAAAGGACATGGATAGAACTGTGTCTCAAATATTAATTTACTGGTACAATCTTAGAAGCCATGCAGAGGGAATTTCAGGAAGAAGGCAAAATCCTTGTCGTTATTACAAAATACAAAAATATTGCTTAGAAGTATCCTTTCTACCACTTTACTGGAGTGAAGGTTATGAGTGGGTAGGTAGATCAATGGCAGAACAGAACAGAGACATACCTGTGAATCATAAGTTGAAAGAGAAACAGAAAATATATAGTACCTTCAACTGTAAGTGCTGAGGAAAGAGAAGCACAAAGTATACACATCCCATCAGGAAGTTATGCATAACAACAGGACAAGAGAGAGTTCCCAGAGTTCCCAATACAGGTGTGGGATGGGGGTTTTTTTGTCACTATTTTTAGACAGGTAGACCTGAGCCAATAAAGATGCAAGAAAGAACACTGGGTAAATGACAAACAAGGAGTTCAGTTTAAAGGAGCTGAATTCTGAGCTCAGCTCACATCAAAATGCCCTTACACCTAAAAAGATAAATTCCATTTTAAATATTTTTCTTATGATAGTTTCTCAGTGTGAAATCACTATAAATTTCTCAGTGTGTTAATGTGTCTGTTAATTGTTCAATAACCAAGAAATACAGCATGGGGCAAAACAGTCTGAGTATGTGAAACAGTTTATTCTTGTAATATCATTTATCAATTGTATTATTTTCCATACAAACAACTATAAACCTATTTTTGATCCACTCTGTATATATCATAGTTTTTTTTAACTGTATCAAGTCAATTAATAAATTTTGACACAAATTATGCTTTTTTTATTAAATGTGATAAGCATTGTAAAAAGGAAAAGAATGGGTTTTAGAATTATCCAGACCTATGTCTCCATCAACACATTCACTTCATCACTTGAAAATATGCAAACTTAGCCTGGCCAGTGTGGCTCAGTGGTTGAGCGTTGTCAGGAGGTCACAGTTCGATTCCCAATCAGGGTATATGCCCAGAATGTAGGCTCAATCCCCAGTGTGGAGCATGTAGGAGGCAGCCAATCAATGATTCTCTCTCACCATTGATGTTTCTCTCTCTCCCTCTCCCTTCCTCTCTGAAATAAAAAAAAAAACATATTTAAAAAAGAAAATATACAAGCATAAGACTTATATGCTAAGTGATTTACAAAACTCATCTGATCATCACAATAGCCCTCTGGATTTAAAGGTGAACAACTTGCCCAATGATTACTCACTAGTGAAGAGCAGAGAGGTAAGCCAATGATTATAATACAGTCATCAGTGTTGTTGGAGGTATACATATGGGGCCTCAGGGACATCGAAGGGACAGTATCATATAGTAGAAAGAGCAAGGTTTTAAGCAAGTGATTACGAAATGAAATGGAGAAGAAACCCAACATTTATTGCAGACCTTCTGTGTGCTAAGAATTATCCATATATTACCTTTTATTTCTTCAAAGCAAAATTGTACAGAAGGTATTAGAGGGGTATTATGAGGACCTGAAGCTCAGGGAGTCATGGGAGGACACCAAGCCTGGCCTTACCTTTGGGCATGGTAAAAGGATTCTCTTTGGAGTTAGACTCACATTCAGATGCTGCTGTTTCTTTTTTTATTGAGTTGGGCAAGTTGTTTCAGTTAATTCTGGTCAATATGTAGCTCAAGTGTTCCATCTGGTTAGGTTGCCTCCTGTCTAAAAATTTAGTCAGGTTTTACACAGAAGGCAACCTAATTAGATATGCAATTCACAATATGCTATCTGTTCTGCTTTACACATTCGTTCAGAGGCCAGCCATTTGGCTGCCCTGTCTCTATAAATAAAGTCTTATTGGTACAGCCACAGCATTGGCTTGGGTGGAAATGGCAGAGCTACGTAGTTGCAAAAGAGACCTCACAGATTGCAAAGCTTGATATATGTATTATCTGGCCCTTTATATAAAAAATGTGCTGACCTCTGCTTTAGTTGAGTCCATTAAATGAGTCAAGAAATATTAGAAGATTCACTAGGAGCCAGCCACTGGCTTTTGGTGCTGAGCATGCTGTGGTGAACACAACAGACATCATCCTTGCCTTCACACACCTTACAGTCTAGCAAGCAAAAAAGATAAAACACAAAAGCAGTTAAACAAATGAATAAATAATAAATACACCACTCACTGGAACAACAGTGAAAGAGAAGTAGCTAATACTATTGGAGAGAAGGGCATGGGAGGGAAACATCCACACTGGGTCAAAGGGGAAGCTTCTCTAGAAGGGAAATTAAACGGACCTGAAGACCTGGGTCATGGGGAGTTAGGAGAAAGGGACAGCCAGGTGAGAGATGAATGCATTCCAGCAGGAAATCCAGTATAAACTTAGGCTCTGACAAAAATAATACAAAATATTCAACGGAAGGTATGGTTCAAACACAATGAGCCAGAAAGAAATTCTGATAAAATGAGGAAAATATATAGGTAAGGTTTAGATCATACGACACCTTGTAACCCATTTTAGTGTCCTCACTTAATTTTTAAAATTCTAAATAAACATTTATATTAAAAAGGTTGAAAAAGTTAGGGGCTAATATTTCAGACTTACAAAACTCCTCTTCCTTATTAATAACAATAATAACAAGCAAACCCACTTAATCACATCTAGCTTTGGCTCAAAAGTAAGGACTTTCTTTTCCTATAACCATTAGGACTTCCTTAAACATTTTTATCACCTGTAATTATCACCCCTACAGTTATGATTAAGAAAACATTCAGCCTCTTAAAAAATTAACTGCAAGGACAGCATTCTCTGAGACAGAAGTGCTGGCAGAAGCCATCGCTCCTTTGTGGGGCCTTTTCCCCACCCAGCCTGCAAGCCCCAGCTGGCACCATATCTGACTCTCCATCAACCCAGCTAACACCATTCCCCCTCCCTGGTGATTCTCTGAGATGCTGTCCCACCAACTTGTGGCTTTTCCACACATATGGCTTGTCTTGGCCCATGCCCCAATGCCGCGGACTTTCCTAAAATCTCTCAAAGGCTCACAAACCCAAACAAGCAGCACCTGTCCTCAGTGTGCCCCGTACTTCTTGCTAATTGGCCCCAAGCCCAGCACAAGCAGCAACTATCTCTGGACCTATTTTGTGGAATTTCAATTAGTTTCAGGTATATTCCTGGAAGCATGTTATTATTCCTGTGAACTTAATTTGTGCCATAAGAAAACAAAAAAAGCTAAGTAAGAATTGTGGTAATATAGGGGAGGGGGAAAGACTAAGAAAACCTAAGCACACTCTAATCTTTCTTTCGACTACACGTATACATAATAATAAGAAACAATAATAGCAGCGACCATTTATTGAACATTTCTTATATGCTAGGCCAGTCACTTTACCTTTGAACCTCATTTGACACTCACAAGCTATTATTAGTCCTAATTCACCAATTCAGAAAATGAGATTCTGAGAGGTTTAGCATCTTTATTCTAATGCTCCTGTTCTGCTTACAGCATACACTGTCTATAGGTACAGACAACTATCTCTATACTGTTGAGTCCACAGAATCAGTGATTATATAAATACTTCATTTGTATATTACCGGCTTCATCTAACTGATCCAGGAGCTCTCACAGAGGGAAAATAACTTTCCCTTCAGTTCTAATACCATTGCTCTAACAACAGGAATGAAAAGAACAAATTAGGAATTGCTCCTCCCTTACAAGTAAGCTCCAGGACAGCAGATGATAATACTCAGGGCCTGTTCAATGCCATGGCCTGGATGCCCAGAACAGGGCCCAACAACAGTAAATGCTCAATACATTATGGTCGATTTCAAATGAAATTCATGAGTCTAGCTTATGTGAGTCCAACTTGGGTAGCCCTTTGATCCCATCCTCTTTAGATGATACCATAGAACTATAATAATTTAGCAAAGAAATTAATCCATCATCATTCTTAACTAAGTCACCACCAACATGAAATCATTAATTATCTGTAGAAATTGGTCTTCAAAGTTAGAATATTTTAAACATAAAATTAGTAAGTAGCGCTTTAAATTACACAAAATCAGATCACTGTACTTCAAATTTTGATTGACTTAAAATGCATAAGATTGGTGTATTCAAAAAAGGATGGGCTACAAGAATGGAAGAGACCTGCATTGGAGTTAAGGGATGTGTACTCTAGTCCTGGTTCTATTGGTTCTCCAAGTAACAACAATATGGTCACAGCCAGTCCCACACTCCTCCAGCCTCCGACTTTCAGAAATCAGTGATCTCCGAGATCCATTACAGCTTCTCTGTGCAATGTCTCTAGGTTAGCAGATGTCACTAGACTCTGAGATGGCCAGTGAAGAATAAAGTGGTTGTCTACACTAGTCCTCGAAGGATGTGAAGACTGCATGTATGAAGTTAATGCAAATCTCAGCTGAGCGAATCAATGACCACACTTCCATTTACCAAAAAGTCAAGTGGTTCTCTAATGCTGTAATCACGATATATAGGCGTCCAGATGTTCAGAGACTTTAAATGATGTTTGAAAAACATTAGTTTAACTTTAAAAAGAAACACTAAGGGTAGCAGCCTACATCTTCCTTCCAGAGTTGGAAGTGGATGAGGTATGTGTGCCTACTTCACAATTCTGTTCATAGGGCCCTGCTTAATATAAAATCCTCCCTCAGGTTTTTCTTAAATGTTCCGTAGGCAATGAAAATAAAGTATTTATTGTAAAAGATATATAAAAATATCAAGTGATGGCAAGTTAAAAATGTCTTTGAGGAACCTGCTGATTTGGACTTTAGCAGATATTACCAGACGTACTGCTGGGCTTGCTGTTTTCAACGAGTTATGAGAACTGTGTTAAAGACCATGGTCCTTGAAATAAGTGCATCTTACTTTTCCTCTAGTGACATTACATGACACCGAGGATCTCGTTGTGGGATTGACCCCACCATCTGCTTATTAGATATTTTAGTACAATCATAAGCTAAACATCTAGTGGGATTAGCAGAACTAGACTCATAGTAATTAAAGACAGACTTATTTTACCTTGCCATGAACTACAACTGGTGTGTTTTAATGTTTTAAGGAATTATATTAATCCAAACATTTTCCAAAATGGATCACAGACCTCAATGTAAAATGCAAAACTGTAAAACGCCTAGAAATTAACATAGAAAATCTAGATGAAGTTGGGTATGACAATGATTTTTAGATACAATACCAAAGGCATGATTCATGAAAGAAGCAATTGATAAGATGGACTTCATTAAAATAGAAAACTTCTGTTCCACAAAAGACAATGTCAAATGTCAACAGAATGAGAAGACAAGTCACAGACTGGGAGAAACTATTTGCTAAAGATATATCTGATAAAAGATTGTTATAGAAAAATACCATAAAAAAGTCTTTAACTAAACAATAAGAAAACAATCCACCAAATTTAAAAATGGGCCAAAGATCTTAACAGACACTTTATCAAAGAAGATATACAAATTGCAAATAAGCACATGAAAAGATGCTCCATATCATATGTCATTAGGGAAATACAAATTAAATAAAAATGAGATACTACTACACACTTTTATGAATGGCCAAAATTCAGAACACTGACAACATCAACTAAATGCTGGCCAGGATATAGAGCAGTGATGGCGAACCTTTTGAGCTCGGCATATCAGCATTTTGAAAAACCCTAACTTAACTCTGGTGCCGTGTCACATATAGAATTTTTTTGATATTTGCAACCATAGTAAAACAAAGACATATTTTTGATATTTATTTTATATATTTAAATGCCATTTAACAAAGAAAAATCAACCAAAAAAATGAGTTCACGTGTCACCTCTGACACACGTGTCATAGGTTCGCCATCACTGATATAGAGCAATAGGAACTCTCATTCACTGCTGGTGAGAATGCAAAATGGTACAGCCACATTGGAAGACAATTTGGCAGTTTCTTATAAAACTAAACATACTCAACAAACAATCCAGCAATCATGCTCATTGGTATTTACCCAAAAGAGTTGAAAACTATGTCTTGTACAGAGTGCACAAAAACCTGTACAAGGATGTTTATAGTAGCTTTATTCATAAGTGCTCCAACCTGAAAGAACCCAAGATGTCCTTCAGTAGATGAATGGATAAACTGTGGTACATCCGGACAATGTATATTATTCAGTGCTAAAAAGAAATGAGCTATCAAGCTATAAAAAGACACAGGGAAACTTTAAATACATATTACTAAGTGAAAGAAGCTAATATGAAAAGGCTGCATTCTGTATGATTCCAACTATCTGACATTCTGGAAAAGACAAATCTATGGAGACAGTAAAAAGATGTGTAGTTATAGGAATTGGAACGTGGCAATAAATAGGTAAACCACTGAGGATTTTTAGGGCAGTAAAAATAGTCTGTATGATACCATAACGATGAATACATGTCATTACACATTTGTCCAAACTCACAGAATGTACAACACCAAGAGTGAACCCTAAGTAAATTATGGATATTGGGTGATAAAAATGTGTCAATGTAGAGTCATCAACTGTAACAAATGTACCTCTCTAGTGGGGGATGTTCCTAAGGGGGATGGAAGCTATTCATGTGGAGGGAAGGTACGGAATATATGGGAAATCTCTGTACCATCCCCTCAATTTTGCTGTAAACCTAAAACTTCTCTAAGAACATAAAGTCAATTTTTAAAAAAAATTAAAAATTTTGCCATGTGCATAATTCAAAAAGACACAAATGAGCTCAAAATAAGGTTTTTAAGCAAAAGGGATTTAAGCAAGATTTGCAATGTGCCTTTTCCTCTTTGCAGATGTGCAGCCTACCTTTTTGGAAGGAACAGGAAAACCTACTGAATATTTCACTTACTGACAGATAAAATCCATTTGCTTTATTTGGGAAGGAAAAATATTAGGTGATGAGGCCAGAGGATCTGTAACACCTCTACAGGATTTCCTGAGTGAAGTCCAAGACTGCAGCACTAATGTACCAACTAGCATTTTAGTGAAAGTCTATTGGTAAGTCAATAAAACATGACATGAAGATGCTATTCTTTAGCTAATCTAACTTAATCCAAGAGTGTATTTTAAAATATCTAGTACAATGTATGATCTACTCTATCCTTTAAGCACTCCTTCCTAAATATTGCTTCTTTTAAGCAATACTAACAAATATCGGGTGCAAAGAGCACCTGTTTGTCCTTCCTAAAACATGTCTGGAGAGCTCCTGTTCAAAGCAGCTAAACAAATACAAATCCATCTACTTTAACAGGAGGTCTAAGGACAGCGCTAAGATTCTTCTGTAAAGCTGAAGAGCATCACAACAACATAGCTTGAATAAAAAGCCAGCTCACCTCAGCTTCTGGGAAGCTAAAGGAGACAAGGTCAAGATTCTCCTCTGAAAATTAGGCAGACTAATGGGTGATTAAGATCCCAACATTCTAGTCCATATAGCTTTATCTTGCATATCTAAGTCAGAAATGTACTTGAGGTAGGAATAACCAACCTAAAATACACTTTAGATTCATGACTTAAATAATTCGTCTTCCTCTTACACAAACCAAGGAAAATTATTTGTAAAATAACTCCAAGATGTGCTATTTTAACAGGTGTGTCCAATTTGTTGAAATGTATCAAACTATATACTTATAGGACCACTTTTCTATATGCATTTTACTTTTTAAAGTTTCATTCATATATGTACATACCTCAAATATGTGTATATATTTATATACATATGTCTATAAAATATTCTCTGATGTTAAGCTTACTACAACCCTATAACCTAAATACATATTTATTTTACTGCTCTAGTTTACATATGAGAAAACTCAGAAACATTTCCCACTAATTCAAGGTCACACAGATAGTTGGTAAGTGGCAGAACTGGGGTCCGAATATAGCAACTTCAGACCCCTTAAAAGTCCACAGGGGAAAAGTCTTCTTTGAAAGGAATGTAATGCAAGTGATGTTTTAAAATCTGATAACAGAATACAGGGTAAATTGATGGCTGCATATTCACCAAAGCAGCAGCTACAGTAAAGCCTGGGTCAGAGATCATTTTATTTAGACTAGAATGATGGCAATGAGGTTAGAATGACAAGGGGGAAAAGCAGGTCTACAAGTAACATGTTAAAGAGATGTTAGGATTCAAATATGACTCCACAGTTCCTAATATTAGATATGAAAAGACATGAACAGTGGACTTGCTTTTCCACTTAAGATCTCTGAAAGAGGTCAAGATGAGATATCCAATGAAAATGTCCACAGACAGTGGGAGCAATGAGACCAAAGCTTGATTAGAAGAACAGGGCTGGATTAATACTGTACTAATTTTATATTTCTTAAACCAAAGGGGACAATGCTTTAACACAGAAAACTAATAACTGTTAACGCCCCCCAAAAAGGAAAAACTTTTAATAACATAACACTTCCCCACACAGTAACACATTCCCAAAGCAGCAACACTTCTGCATGTTAGTTCAAGACAAAAACTCCCTGCCACCTACTCACATCCCTTGCAAACCATTCCACACCCATCATAATTGTTTTGTAGCATTTTTGAGAGACAAAATATTGAGATTGCCTGCTAAAATACATATAGTAAGTTAGCCAAAATTAGGCTTTCAACTTAACAGCATCAATTTTTAAAATTCTAATCAATTTAAGGCATAGAAACAAATAAGGATTTTTATTAAATGTCAGGAAACCAACGATGGATTTACATTAGCAACCAGGCACATAAAGAAGACATCTGCAGACAATACAAAATATTACAATTGAAAATGTCATCTAGTCTGTATCTATATGGCTAGATATTGTCAAAACAGACAACTTCTTAAAAATTAACAGAGTGACACATGCAGTATATCATTTATGTTAATAATCATTTAACACTGTGTATGTCCTTAAAATTATACACATACCATATACAAAAACACACTTAGAGAAAAACTGAAATTCATACTAGCAATTGCATGTGGGGAAGAAAGGGAAATAGAATTGGAAAGAAAGGTAAAGAAAATATATTTCAACTTTATCTACAATGGCTTCTTTCTTTCACTAACTAAAAAAAAAAATCTGAAACAAATATGCTGAAATGTTAACATGTGTTAATTTGGGATAAAGGTCATATGGTGTTTTATTTGTTCTCTTTGTCATTCAATATTTCTGAAATGTTGCCCAAGTTTTTAAAAAAAGGGGGGGGGCCAAATCCCTCACCTAATGAAAAGTATTCTCACATAGAACATAACTGACATAACTTGTCGGAATAACTGCAGGGTAGACAGGGTGAAACTAACTTCTTCACCAAGAAGCCAACTACTATTTTGGACTCCTAACATATTTCTTGAAATAGAATGGCCTAATTAGCAGATCTAAACTCTGGTTTGAATCCAGAAATTCATCTATAGAGAGGGTCTTTACTATGGGTAAGTTCTCAACTAGGAAAGGTCAGTAGCCTCAATATCTCCTAAGGAGACTAAGAGGAAGATTCCAGGAGGGAAAAGCTACTACAGACAATTCTGAATGAACCCAATGTCTTCTCTTCCAC